TTTTTATGGAAAAAGCGCCGCAGGCGAAAATTTTTAATAAAAAATCGCGCGATTTTTTATTAAAAATTTTCATTACTTATCGAAGTATTGATTTTTATGGAAAAAGCGCCGCAGGCGATAATTTTTAATAAAAAACCGCGCGATTTTTTATTAAAAATTTTCATTATTTATCGAAGTATTGATTTTCATTACTTATCGAAGTATTGATTTTTATGGAAAAAGCGCCGCAGACGAAAATTTCATTATCAAATCGATGTACGTTTTCTACATTTGTGTACTTTTAACTATAATAACACCAGTAAATATTATTTCCCCCGAAAAAAATTTTACCGTTATGATCAGGAGTAAGACCCCTATCGTTCCTAATATTATTATTTTTAATAAGAGCAATGTACGTATTGTACACTTATACCCCTAATTATACGATCTTATTTGTGGTGAATTTCTTTTAACGTATGGTAGCATACATTTTGTGTTACTGTCAGCCATTGTTATTTCTGCTTGTTTGTGAATTGTGCAAACGTTTGTGAAGACATTTGCAAACGCGCTTTACTTAATTAATTAATTAATAATTGTATATTAAGGTATTACAAACGCATGCGAACCTTTTAAGGATAATATATTTGTGCAAATAAAAGTGATAGGTGTGGAGTTATAATAAAATGTGGTGATAGCAGGCGGGATATTTTAACAACAAATAACTTAAGTACTATTAGCAACAATATTGTGAAAGTGATAAATATAGTTAAAGGAGACCTCCATTAGTGTCCCCACCGAGTTTCATAAAAAAATTCACCTTACTTTGCACGGAATAACAATTGGTTCCGTAATGGAAATCTCAGCCAATAATTCTACATAAAATTATACACGTAAATTACTCACTATGTAAACTATTGGAATACAACTTGTTTCATTACCTTTTTCGTAGAGCTGCAAAAACATCGGAGTACTATCGATAGTATCGATGTTTAAATATTTTTTTGAAAACATCGATGGTTTTCTTACTATCGATGTTTTTAGAGGATATGCCATCATTGGAAAGTTTATCCGTTGCTGATTTGGGGCAGGCAAGAAGTATAACAAGTAATTTTTACCGACTTCAACTCTCATATAAAAAAAAAATATATATATATATATCTCATGATCGAAATCGGTTTACTTGGTCCAAAGTTATGCGGTAACATACATAAAAAAAAAAAAAAAAATTCCGACGAACTGATAACCTCCTCCTTTTTTGGAAGTCGGTTAAAAACTAAAGCGTAATCAACTCATAATCTTTAACAGAACGCTAAAGCCTAACAATAAGTGTTCAGGGAAGTTATTACCAGGGCCAAAAAGTTTAAGCCTACAGCCTGCTTACTTACTTACTTTTTCCTTACGAAATAATGGAACGGGCATATATTTCTGTTGAAAACAAGGGTGCCTGGTACTCTTCACAAACAAACTTTAGCAAACCATAGTAGAAAGCGTAGCGAATTTCTTAATAACTTC